GATGGTGGTCTGCATTGCAGTGATCGTGCCTTTCCCACTGGAGTCACTATTTCACCATGATATGCCTTGATTGCTGACTAGAAATCCTCTGAACCGACTCGTTTAGTGCAACCTCGTGCTTAGTCTTCCCTTTCTGTCTGGTTTTCCTCTCTGCTGCCCTTAAGAGCTGAAGATAATTTTCTTTTGAATTATAACATGGTTCTCCGCAACAATAGGCAACAACATATCTCACATCAGCCGAAGCTGGTGCGCTTGTACTTAACACTGCGTACCCGTGCGGCTTCTATGTGGGCGAACAAGATAGACTGTGATGTGCTGTGATGTACTTACCTTGCTAACCCAGGAGACTCTAATCCACAACTCACTCACTGCGCGAATTGACCCGAGCAAAGGACGCATAACTGATATTAAGCAATACAGCGCGAGACAGCATCCCACCGCTCACCATGTAGTGTTGCATATCCGGCTCCTTCACTTCTCCAAATTGGAGAAAGAAATCAACTAAGATGCAGGAGGAAATGCCAAGACTGCACGTCGGTAATCTAGCAGGTTGATTGTGATGTCTGCCTCGGCTTGCTCTGGCGGGGATACCATAATCACATCTACATAATCTGCAGACCAGTTATCAGAATTGATTTTCCTTGCTCATACATTGATGATGCTGCGCAGGCCACGGAGGCCACGATCGATCAGCCTAGTAGTCCCCTCTACCAGGAGAGATATGTCTCGTTTTCGTGTTGTTGAGCACACAGCCCGGTGTCAAAGTGTCCGGGAGCGTTTGGGTGCTGTCAAAGCCGGCCATGAAAATGAGCTGATGCTTGCGGTCAAGCAGTACATCCCACTCGATAACCCCTCTCCGCAAGATGGGGATGTCACAATAATCGGGGCTCATGCAAATGCTTTTCCAAAGGTGTGGCTACAACTTCTTGATCGTGCTATCTTGTCTACACAACTCATCTGTCGCTCAGGAACTATACGAACCTCTTTGGGATGATATTCACGAGATACTCCGAAGTCATAAAAGACGCATTCGATCCATTTGGATTGCGGATGTTGCTCAGCAGGGGCAGAGCGGCATTCTAAATGAATCGATTTTGGGTCATGATCGTGAGTATTCACGCCATGGATATTACTAACTAAACCGTTTCACTCACTATCGGATATGTTTTCTAGCTGCCTGGTTTGATCATGGGCGCGATCTTCTTTCCATGATAAACCAGTTCCAAGACCAGATCCCTCAGCCGCTTATTGGGATCGGTCATAGCATGGGTGGGATGCAACTGTGAGTGCAAATCACGGTTTCATTCTTTACCATCAATCTAGAGTCATATTACTAAATTTATCAGTGCTCATCTCTCACTGCTACACCCATCGCTATTTGAAGGTCTTATCCTGATCGACCCTGTGATACAACGCGAGAACCCGGGGCGCAAATTCGCCCAGGCGTCCACGTACCGACGAGACCTATGGCCCTCACGTCAACAAGCAATCGAGAAATTCCAGACCAGTCCGTTCTACCAGGCATGGGATCCCCGCGTGTTCGCGACATGGGTCCAATACGGGCTCCGCGACCTCCCCACGCCGCTGTATCCCATTACCGAGGAGACTGGGCCGTCCGCCGTGACCTTGACTACGACGAAGGCACAAGAGCTTTTCTACTACATGCGACCGTCATACCTCGACGAGCGATCCGGTCTCCCTCGCGGCTATCCCGAAGAAGAAATGCATCCCGACGACATCGATAATACTTATCCATTCTATCGCTCCGAGCCCGCGTGGATGTTCCGGCGGTTGCCGGAGTTGAAGCCCGCTGTTCTCTATCTATTTGGAGATCAATCGGGCGTATCTTCGCCGACGGCCCGTCGAGAGAAGATGGAGATTACTGGCACGGGCGTTGGAGGCAGTGGCGGCGCGGCTCGGGGACTGGTGCAAGAGGTCGTTCTCCCTTGCGGTCATATGGTTCCCATGGAGCGGGTCCGGGAAAGTGCCGACGCCAGTGCTTCCTTCATCGCCGCTAGGTTATCGGCTTGGGAGTTGAAAGTTTCACGGTTTCGCGAGGCCTGGGAGCGAGTGCCCCATCAGGAACGTGTCAGCGTTGACCGGCAATGGGAGAGGGAAATCGGTGCTTTGCCTAGAAGGTCGAATATTTGAATTTGGGGGAGTTAAGGCTCTAGGTGCGAGCGTTCAATCAGTCAGCATGTGCCCCCAGTAGATTCTGAGGATCGAGGCGACCGAGGAGAACATGAGCGGACATGGTTAGAGGATAAGCGGACAACGGGCAGGGATCTTACTTCTCAGGCTGAAATCACTCCCCCGCATGTCACTGACAGGGCGCGAGGGTTAGACTCCACTTGAACATCGGCGCCGGTGGCCATGGGCTTACTTTCACCTTTTCGTTCATTACCTTGATTTCCTTGGCAATTGCAAACAATATTTTCTGTCCTCGGTCCCTCATTGTGTAGCGATTCCGTGATTTCGTTTATCTGGCCTACGTCATATCCCTTTTACTTTTGTCACAGTCAAAGTGCCGGATAGACTTCTGAATGCTAGGATACACACAGCTTCTATGACTTGTATGTACGCTCGACTAGCTTGAAATGCAGTGGGCATAAGTGTATCTACATTACAAAGACTCTCACATGACACTTCTGTATCTCAGGTCTGTGCTGGCTCTCTCTTTCTACTCTGTCCAACCATGGCAACTAGTATATACGCGGCAGTATCAACAATCGTGACGTTCTGCTGAATCTCGGGTTGATTTGGGGTATGGATGTGTTGTGTGAGATGCACTTTGATAAGAACGCGGTTCCGGTTGCTGGGTGGAGGGAGTTTGCTCTGCTGCAGGGAAATGTTGATATATATCTGGAAGAGAGTCTTACATGATTGTTGAAGAGATTGCATGACATGTATGCTCGCTTTCTAAGATACGCTGTTAGCGATTGCCGGAAGAGATGTTTGCGACTCCGGTGCTATGATTATTGTCTGATAAAGGTGCAGAGCAGAGGAGCATACTATACAAACTACTAGATAGACTACCACCAAACGCTTGTACTTCGAGTTGTTGCGCCAAGTACACCCTGATTGGGCCGGGATGTCCAAACAAGCCCTTAGCACCGGACACTAAAACCACCACGGCACCAAATCTATGCAGCTGTCAACAAACCCGGTCACCCAGCATTTGTGCCAGTGTTGATTCTAGGCCCACCCTTGAGCACTTGTGCCATAGACCTCCCACTAGTGATATTGATTTAAAGATATTGGTAAGAGACCTCTCCTCTGGTTTCGAAATATCAGTACATAAAGCTTGGCTCAGTGCTTGGGCCTGCTCTTTACAGTCACAACATAAACTGTAATCGACTAACTCACCTTACAGTTTCACATTGTTTTTCCCCGCCATACGGATACTTTCCGCCTTTCTTGGCATCCCTCAAAACGACTAAGATTTTCTGATTGGTAAGAGAAGCGCAAACATATAAGATGAATCGTTGTGCTTAGTGCGTAGGCACAGCCTACAATTTGATATTTCATCTATATGAACTCAACCGCCTGGTGTCAATAACGCACAACTACAACTTCGAAAACCAAAACAAATGAAAAAAATACAATAGCAATATGTCCGACCCCACATCCACCTGCACCGTCACGACCCGCCCAAAGCCCGGCACTCTCCGCTGCTCTGGCTGCCACCCCAGCAACGAGGCCCGCTACTGCTCGTCTGCCAAGCGACGGACTGGAAGCGCGGCCACCGCCGCACCTGCGCTGGCGCCCAGAAGCAAAACCGCTTCCTAATCCGCGCCCTTCCCACTACTGCCCACACTGGCCCAAACCAACAACCCTTCAAGGACGCGCATCACCTCGAGCCCTCCCCCCTCCACGCCTACGGCAACCGGGGCAAGGAGCGCCAGGAGATCAAGTCGCACCTGAGCTGGGCCGGGGTCTACGAGCCCGGCACGTTCTTCTCGCACCACGACACGAACGACTGGCACTATCACGTGTACGCGCCGGGGGTGCCGACCTCGGGGTGGGAGTTCGAGTCCGACGACACCCGCCCCCTGAACCCCATCGCAGAGCGGTGTCTGGGCCTTCCCGTGCACGGCGACGTGGCCGTGGTGCGGTCGCCGACCATCGAGGTGAATCACCACGAGGACGCGCTCTCGGCTAATGAGCTGGGTGCGCACGCTGGCGTACCATCGCGCGGATCGCACGGTCAATAGCATGGGTGACCGCCAGCGGAGGGAGAGGGAGAGGATTGCCGGGAAGTTGGGGTTGGATGAGACTTTCTTGCCGCCGGGTTTTCCATGATCGTCTGTTTTGGGTGGTGGGTGTCTTTGGAGAAGTGGTTTGGGTGGTGGATGGGGGCATTTGGGATCAAGTATGCTGTGCTGTCCGGAGTAGTTCGGGTTGTTTGGCTACTAGGAGTTGTGGATATTCAGTGTGCAGAGGGCAGGGTCGGGTGCCGGTGCCCAGAACTGAACCTCAGATGCGAACCGACTGTACAGCTTCTGTTTAGGTACTGTACGATAAACTTCTATCACGTTCTTCACGGGTTGCAGGTGCAGTGGCAGCTGCAGCTGCAGCTGAGCAGGGACCAGGGGGACCGCTTCAAGCGCGGTTAACCGCTGCTGTAGGTAGCACTTTTCCCTTCCAAGTTGGGGGATCTGCTACCGCGCTGTAAGGGATCCTATAGCATGGGATCGCTGAACCCTGAACAATAGCATCCGGTGATATACATGTCAATGGAAAGCAGTGACCAGCTACTTCACAGTACCTACTTCGCGGATCCAGATCACTACCTACTCCAATCGCAGTAGTAGCTAAGGTAGTCAAGTGCTGCGCCTGCTGTGCCTGCAGTTCCTGCATCCAGCAAATGCACCCACGAGCCTGCTATCCGCCTCAAAAACCGGGGGGTTTCTGTAAGTTCGTCCCTGGTTTCAGCTGCATCTGCTGAACCACGGGGGAGAGAGTCTCACCGACTCCCGTCCGGTGTGAAAGGACCCTGACGACTTGCAGCGCTGCTTGAAAGCGAGAGAAAAAAGCAATACAAAAGCTATGCTATTGCTGCTTGTGTTTCTTTCCTCGCTGAAGGATTTCCTTGGTGTTTCTTTTGTTTTTCTTGGATATGAAGACTCGCCGATTCAAGTTAGTCGTTGCATGTGAAGAATTCACCGAGCGATCTACACCTACGCGGAGTATAGGTAGAGTTCTTCCGAGGGATCTCGTCTGCAATCCGGAGGGAACTCGTGCAGATGACGGGCATGCGGTGTGAAAGCGCTGGGTTACTCAATTTGTTGTTAGCGCAGGCTCTGATTTCAGTCCGCTAAGTTAGGCTAACTTACAAGCTGAAGCAGTGTTTGGAGAAATACTGTACATAACACCACTGCAAGAAGAGCGCCGGGTGCCTAGACTAGAATGCGATACGATGGCTTGTCGCTGCTGGATCATTCGTCGGCTTTGATTCCCTCCTCCCCCCCGTGTCGATCATGAGCGAAACTCGCGAATCGGGTTCTAAGCAACCCAGTTTGTTTGTACGTCAGTCGTCAAAATACTGAGTAAAATATTCTAGAGTTCTTGGGATGTGATTCGTTGATTGTGAGTTTATTTGCGACAAGTAGACTTTATCCCAGGGGGCGGGGGGTGACATTATCCATCGCTGTCTCAGGATTGAGGGCCAAGAGACTCAGAAAGACATCCCGTTGGTGATGGTGCTGATCTTCCTCACCACCAGGACCCATAATTCTGCTCGGGATCTAGAGGAATTGAGAAGGCAGACTGGACTATCAATATGTCATTGTTTGATGCAGTTAACTACAAGTGAGTCACGCTGCGTGCGTGAAGACTGTCTGTCACTGACGGACTGATTTTCGCGACGTTGCTTGCTTTTTTTGCCGTTTCGACTGATCAGGTTGTTGCGGACGTCCCCTCGTGAAACTAAAGTAATCTACTTATGTACCTACTGCTTAGTAGATGCAGATAGGAACCACCTCTCGATCGGGTCAATGCAAGGATTGGACCAGGAAGGAAAACTCCCCGATCCGAGAGGGGAGGATTATGATAATTTTTTGAGTCATGGTTGGAGCTGAAGATGGGCTGCAGGGGGCTGTCTTGTCTAGATCTACTGTGTATGTATCGGGTGGTGTTTGTGGGTTTGTCGCTCCACCTGTCTGGATGCCATCGCCCTCAACTGGAGTCCTGGACTGCTAGCAAGTTAGTACTTTTGTCGCCCAATTTACCTACGAAGTAAGTGAGACGAGCTGTAGTCTCGTGCACGGAGCGATGGTTCAACTCTTCGGAATGGAAATGGAGTAGCGTAAGCATCCACCTCATTACACATCTCCCATCGATTTCGGACTCATACGGTCGGGACCGAGTATGTTTCAGGTCAGAAACAATAGCAGGCAAATCGGGTCGCGCCGTCCTCACGGTGGAGGATTACTGAGTGGAGGGGGGAGACACGCAGAGATAGAGGGAGAGATCAGAACAGAGGAAGACACACACGCACACAGTCCTCCAGTTGCCGACAGCTCCTTTTGCTTTTAGGGTTTCTGATCTGTGGCACTCGACCTACGCAATACCCATGAGCCTCATCAGTGTATGACGCAACTCACGATGCTATTTTGAAACTCTGTGATCGGTGTGTATACTGACGACGATTGAGATTGTCATCGCCTTGTGCTATGTGTGCGTGTCTTGCTGTGTGGGGAGTCACTGTTTCTCTCATCGTGAATAGATTGCGTGTCCTGAGGGAGAGCCCCACCGAGAGTCCCAGAAAGTCACCGTCCGGACCCTCAATCGAAGGAGCCTGACACCTGGATTGACAGGCACGCCCACGCTAGAGGACAGCCTAGTCTACCGGATTCCTTTATCCTGAGTACTCTGTCTGTGGGATGATCTGGAGGCTGAGTGACTGGCAGAGAAGGTGATCGGGATTTCTCCAGATACAATTGATGGATGACCTGCTTTCCACGGAGAAAAGTCGCCCCTTTGAAGGAGAAAAAAAAATCGCAATGCAGAGAGAGCGTGACCAAAAAGTCCCGTCCAGTGAGTTCATCAGTCGTGTGTCTATTTTTTGTGCGGCAAATAAATCAGTGCGGCGAGACAAGAAAAATCCCCCCTTCCCTGCGGGCGTTCTCTTTCTCCTCCCCACAGCCTCCGACCGGGCACGCAGGAACGCCTGGGCTCAATTTCCAGACCGTCCGCCCGTTTTGGGCCTAACAAAATCGGCCCCTCTAGTCCTTTTTTAGGGCGGGTTTTAGTCTACCGTAGTCCGTCGTCTCATCCATCACCATCGGTTCTCCGAGTGAGGAGCGAGAGGAGTTGAGACCTGAGACTGAGAGCCTCGGTCGGGGGGAGGGGAGGAGTGGAAGAGGAGAGAGGGGTTTGTTTTGGTTCAGTTCTCGATCGTCGTCTTTTTCCGATCGGTCCAATTCCGCTGAGAAGCCCGGATGCACTTACGCGGGAGCCTGGCTTACTTGCTGCTCATGCTGCTGCTCCCACTGCTGCACACTACTGCACATACCTTATGCAGCTTGTGGCCAGTGTACATCCGAGGAAAAAGGACCTGCAGACGGAAAGGGAGAGTGGCTTATCTTTTTGCCCATTTTTGTTCTTGCTTGTTTTTTTTTTCTGTCGCATTCGCACCGTGGGTTGTTTGATCCTCGGGTAAGGATTTGATTGGGATGTGCACTCGGTTGGCAGAGGATGTCAACAAGAGACACACAGTTCAGACCAAGTCAGACAAAGAGAGGGACAAGCAGTCCAGGCACGCGGGTGGTTCGGAGCAAGGGCCGGAGAGTGGAAATCCCATGCACTAAGTACTTTTCTGTGAAATAATAATATCATAATAAAAATAATAATACTAGACATAATAAGCAAGAATAGATTAGAGCAGGAGAGACATCCATGGAACCGGGATTGATTGACTGATAGATCCTGGAGGAGGAGGAGGAAAAAGAGGAGCCCGAGGGAATTGCACTTGCCCGGGAATGGGATGATAGCCCGTGACTGGCCCGACCCTTTTTTTGCCCACTGGATCCACCACTGCCTTCCACCAGACAAAGTCCCGGCCCAGGCTGAAGCTACGCGTACCGGTAGAACGGCTTTCAACCACTCTTTGACTCCCTCCTTCTCTCCCTCTCACAGTCTCGCTCGCTCTGCCCAGACAACGTCTTCTCCACTCCATACACTAGTCCACTCCCTCTACGCTCATCCACCTCCTCGTTCTTTAAGTCCCCGACCCCTTCTCGATCGACTGTCCTCCTTTGTTCCAGACATCTAGACAGGCAGACAGACAGACATCATACCTTCCTTTCCCTATCGATCTCTTCAGTTCAGTCCTTAACTCATCACACTTCACGCCCTCGCCTCCCTATCCTCCTATTCCTCCCCTTGTTCGCCTCCGTTCGTTGCTTACACTCTCTACTGATTTCCTTTCTGTGAATCCAACAAGCTATCAGTCAATTCCTTAACTTCTCTCGTGATCCATCCAAAGTTTAAACTCCAAAAGTACCTACGTTAGATGTTGAATCTCGCTCCTAACTACATTGGAGCTCGCACTACACAAATTTTGTCTATCTTGTTTGCTTGAAAGCAACCTTATCCGGGAATCCATACCCGCCTGTGCAACCAACTGCCATCTCTATCAATCTCTTCCCCGTTGCCCGATTCTGGATCTTCGCCCATCCTCGGTCTGGCCTTCGACTTCCAAATTACCAAATAGCCAAGAACTTCACAAAGAAAGCTAAACGGGCGTCATCAGCTCCCCGCGCAACAGCCTGATCAGCCCGGTGGATTCCCATAGGAACGGTTGCCCCTCACACATCAGAAACCGAAGGGATATCTGCTCCTGTCTCCCTGGCCAAGGAGACTTTGCATCACTGATCGCTCGATCTCCAAGCGCATATCCGTGCTATGGAAAGACACGTTACACGCATTTGATGCCAGCCGTCATTGCGAGCAACTCTTGCCCTTTTTGATCACCTGCACGAACCATCACGTCGCACACAAGAACCCCCCCCCTGACTATCCTCTTCTTCCCGACTGGTCCCAGCCTTTTGGTTTGACCACTATTCTTATATCCGGCATCTCGTAGTTCCTCAGCTCCTCAGCAATAGGAAACATCCAATCTCTCTTCCATACTCGACTCTCGCACTCCTTGTCTCATCTTCCCGAACAATGGCACGCACCGAAGAACCGCTGGATGCCCCCGATGGCTCCGCCTTGACATGGATTTTCGACCATTGTCTTCGGTACCCTGGTACCTACGAGATCCCGCTGCGTTCCATGTATGCGTTGAATTGCAACCCCACGAGACAACAATCATCCTCAACTACCCGCCAGCCTGAAACAGCCTTTCACCGCCCGACCAATTCGTCTTCGTCCCAAGACTCGATGGATCTCGCTGCTGATTTCCGGGCCCAATTGAGCCACCAAATCTCCCGTCTGCCCTCGCAGCCATGCAACCTGCCTCCCAGCTTCGTCACCTCCTTCGTGCGTCGCTGCTTCACCCCTCAATTGGTAGAGGTCGATTTCCCTCAGGCATTGACCGCCTTGGACTACCTCAAAGACTTCGAAATCCGCCGCCGGAAGGAGGTGTCTGCCGCTTTGCAGCGACTGGGCGTCGAGCCGGAGGATGTGAAGGAATCGTCCGAGTTCGCTAACAAGTACCCTGGTGCGATCACCTGGCTCGAGTCCCTCAACTCTCGGGGTCGCCGCATTGAGGCTCTGTACACCCAAGTCTATGTTGGCTTGCGTCGCTGGGTATGTGTCTCGTCTTCTCACTACGCTGTCTTCTTGCTAACCCGGCCGTTTTAGACTCTGATCAACGAGATGTTAATGGAGCCTTTTAATAAGGCCAATTGCATCGCAATGCTCAACACATTGTTCCCCCCGGTCACCGACGCAACTGTACCTCCGACCTCGTACTTGACGCCTGACCATCTGAGGTCTCAGCGCGATGGTTTCTTCAGGTACATTGCGGCCGTGGGGCGCAATGGCCCGGAAGTGCTCAACGAGATTATCGTTCAGGGCGCACTGCCCGGGGATGACAATGGCTGGCCTGTAGTCCGGGATGTTCTCGATCGCTACCTTCGTGCGGCATTGGACATCTACGATGACTGTAGCACGGTCACTGGGCTCGCTAGCTTTGAAGAGAGTACTGAGTCTCAGACCCGCGGTCACAAAGGCCGCAAGGTTGACTCCGGAATCAGTTTCGGCTCAGCGGAGAAGATTCTCGCCGCGGGGGGCGAGAGCAGCAAGGAAGTCGAGGATACTCTCGAGAAACCTCTGCCTCCACCTCCCACGACCAGGCATAAATCGGGCTCTGCGTTGGAGCGGCTGACTCGTGAGCTTCGCAAGTTAGGCGAATCTGGCAAGGTCAAAAGTCTCAAGAAGATGAGGTCCACGAGTGCTTTGGCGGTGCGGTCCGAAAACGTGCCCAGTCGGTCGGAAGAAGAGTCTCTCTTTGAAATCGATGAAATGAAACGCCGGCGGCTCCTGTGGGAAGCCTCCAACCGCAAGAAAG